ACACAGATTCGTCTTAACGTCAAGAATATCGATCGACAAAATTTAAGATGCAGGCCGCTAGACGCCGTATTGAAACTCATAACAAAGTAGAAAGTACCGAATCCCGTTGACTGGAATAAAATTAACAGTTCTTTTAAAAAAAAATCTATTTGTTACACAGATTTCAATTTAAAAAAGCTATTTAAAACCAGACCAGGACTTTAAAACTTCTTGTTATTTCTTGCGATATGCCTCCCAACTCTAAATGAAATGTTTTCTTTAAGATTTTTCTGATTTTCAAGTCACGCGGTTTAACAAACTTCTTAATTAATCCCGGTTGCTTCCAGTCTTTGACGAATTTAATTTATTTAATAAATTTCCAGTCTTTAACGAAGGTTATCATACACTACATAACAACGTGATTTATAGCAGGTTTCGCCATATTCTCTTTCAAGAAATATTTTCATCCCCGCGAACATGTTTGCTTCGGTTCGTCTTAGACTTAATTTTGTTTTTTGCTTTCCAGTTTATTTTTTTTTAAAGTACCGCTTTCAGGTTTTTTAATTTAATTACTTCTTTTTCACTAGCTAACGATGCCAAAGAAAAAATAAACGTATTTACATGCACGTTAGTTTTTATTGCAAATTTGTTATGTTTTAAAACCAAAATAATTTCTCCGATTTTAATTATTATTGCATCAATAGATCCTCTTCAACCTCGCGAATTTGTTACAGTGTAGAGAAATTCAGCAGTAACTACAATACGAAATGGCGACCACTGAATGTCACATTGACAAATAAAACTATATAGTCACTAAAATCCGTCGAATGCAACATCAAATAAAACAATTAGACTAACTGCGAAAGAATATATTTGCAAAATATTTAAGAGATTTTATTACAATCTTCAATGACTGTAGATTTCGAAAAGGTACTGTAGCATCCGGAGGTAGCATGCCTCATGATCTCTTCTTGAAGAAGCATCAAAGGATTGTTATCACCAATGTATATAGATATTTTCTAAAGTAAAAGTAAAATTCACACAATTAAGATACTGTTACAACGCTCCATTCTTCATCCCCATCATCTAACTAATATTATAAATGTGGAAATGTGTGTTGGTTCATCCTTCTTAGACGCAGCAACGGAGCAATGAGTCGACGTGATTTTTTTGCAGAGTGGTAGTTTATGGACTGCAGAGTAATATACGCTACTTTTTATTCTAGAAAAATACACGATTCCTGTATTATAATAATTATAAGTACTCCTGTAATAGAGAAACAATAAAACAGTGAGCTGCATATTCGATATAATGAATGGTCAAGATATTCGAATTGAAATCAGAATCGAGAGCGGGACTAGAATTGAAATTAAGAGTGAAACCGGAATTAACATCGGGAACAGGACTGAGATCGGGATCAGGAATGAAAAAGATATCGCTTGGTATAAACGCTAAATGAATTCAAAAACTAGTTAAGAATAATTAGGGATACTTGTGATCAACGCGGCCCCTTTTTGTTTTGCATTGCACATTTCGATTTACTCACATGAAATTATTCACCTACTTTATACTCATATTTAACAACCAATTTACTTTAGCTAAAATTAGGGCGTATTTGGCCACCTGTACCAACTTTTTGAATTATTCAAAGCGTACAGCCTCCTCGCGTAAGGTGCAAACTCTTAACTTTACAGCTTAAACTTCTCTTACATAAGTACTTCGAAAGTTCTTTATAGACTTTTTTCTTCGGTAAGCTTCGAGAGATACGGGAAACCTACGTGAGAAACGCCGCACGTGGCAATACAGCTTAACGAGGATTTGAGTTTTGCAAAGCTTCTCTCGTGAATTTCACGATAGTTGAATTTTGTGCTTGTACAGTATCGTTATTTTCGTTAACGTGCCATTTGCGGTTTACATGGTACTTTGCAATCATACCTTGACATATCAAATCCATGAGTTATTTAAAATAAAAATACATAATTACACTAGCAGCACAGATCGTTCTAAGATATAAAATATTAAAAAAAAATTCTATTTTAATGCGGGCGGAACCACGGGCAAAAGTTAGTAGTTAGTTACTAATGACAGATTCATATTTTATTATTATGATAACAATATTTATATCCATACGTATTTATTTCTTAAGTATTTAAAAAAACGATAAAAATAGTCATTTGTCTAAAAAATACACGAGAAGAAAACATTTTCTAATTGCAGTAGACAGGAATCTGATTTTAGAAACAAAATATATCAATTAATAATTGTAATATATTTATTATAAGTCACAAAAAGAAACATTTCCAGTTCGATAAATTTTTCAGAAATGTTCAAGGGACTGGCATCGACATCAAAACCGGCATTAGAATTGATATCGGTTGATCAGAATCGAGGGCAAGACCGGGACCGGGATTGGGACGTAAAAGATATCGGCGTAAAAGACGTGGCAATTCATTCTATACTCAAGTGGGCGAACCTTCGCAAAAATTAAATTATACAAGCGAGAAGAAGACAATTACTGTTCAATTTCAATTTACATCCCGCAAAGTGGAAGGACAATGTTTAGTATTTCAAAATGTACAAATATACTATTACTACATATAGTGCTTTTATCTCACCGTACGTAAAACTAAGGGAGGAATAGCGGAAAGCGATCCTTCGATATGGCAGAATATATTGAAGATTGGATTTTAAAACTCGTTCAATGGTTATATTTAAAATAAATACAAAAATATTATACGGTGATTGAAATCGTGCGCAGGACTAGAATCGGGGTTGCGATTGAAAACAACATCGTTCTATAAGAAAATAAATCAGTAATAATCACATTTACCACCGCGTAACGTATTTTGCGACGTACGAGTATGCGTTTCTCTGAGATGGTTCAATGAGAATTAAATTGGGAGCGGAACCAAGATCCGGATCGACAGTGGGTACACGACACACGAGAATATAAGAGAAATCGACAACTTTCATATTTATATTTTAGTCGAGTAGAAGATAATAACATTAAGTTGGTAAAGCGTGAACTCCCAACCTCGAAACGAGTATCTGAAAGACAATGCAACAAAATCACATTCATGTGATGTGACACCACAAAACATGTTTTGTGATGTCATACCACTAATTATCACATATAAACGTTCCGCTGCAAGGCATAGCATTTACCTCGACAGTGAGGGTGTGTGGGCCTTGCTTCCACCGCGCAGGCTGGGCATTGATCGATGAAAGGGCGTGCGTAATGCATATAAGTAATCTACTTTGGTATTAAATGTTTTTATGACACTTTTAAAACCTCTAATTAGGTTTTATCAGTGACTAGACCCCGCAGCTGCGTTTAACTACTTAGAATGCCTTCAGAGGCACGGTTGAAGAAAATCTTGAGCAAATCTTCAAACTCAATTATGCATGTTCCGCTTTGAAGACCGAGTAAAGTGAAGGAGGCCGCCAGGTCGTTAGGTCGACTTATTCAATTGCCTCGAACTCGTGCGGCTCATAACTATGCGAGTCAGACACCTGGCGAAGCCTCTCTGAGGCCCACGCAGGAGGCCCGACGATGGATCCACAATAAATTATTCAATATGAAACCCGACTCGAGTAAAATATTCTTTACAGTAGGTACCCGCTTCAAAACTACTTTCCGAACAGTCACAGCGGCTGAATGCTTGATGCTTGTTCGGTAATTGACTTTTGGATATGCGGACTCCGGGTAACGTTTGGCGATGTCGGTTGTTTATAAAATTTAACGAGTGTACGTCGCATCGCGCACAGCGTTGGGTTCTGTAGTCATTATGATTCCGTATGTATTCTAATAAATCAGAGTTAATAACACGAAATTATGATCTTCATTAAAACTGTGTTGCTAGTAATATATTCTCACAATATGGCAGCGTCATAAGCCATCACCACATAATTTTGGAACTGCAGGTTTGATTCATTTTTATATACGTATAATTATATGTAACGTAATATAATACTTTATGCCATTTTGCATCAGGTTTTGCAAAATCAACTGCAGAGATAATTACAACTATAAATGTATAATAAATGTTGATTTATCAACTATAAATCAACATTTATTATATTCTTGTGACTTAAATTTTGTAGGATATGTGCATATAGAATCACCACTTTCGTCGATATTTCTAAAAATTTTTCGCATTTGTAAGATAACTTTCAAAGCACATATTTTAAATAAAAAAATAAATAAAAGTTAATATCGATCTTTATATTTAATCTAAATATCAAAAGTTAATCTCCGGTGATTTATATTGTTATTATGAATTATTTTATCCTAATACTCATTTTGTCTTTCTAATATTTAGCAGTTAATCTAACCCAGTTTAAGCCAAAAAAATACTAACCAGACAACACAAAGTTTTCAAAATATGTATACTTACGAAAACAATTAACAAGCTATGAAAGAAAACTCTTTCATACCTTTATAAAAATTTTTTGAAGCAAAATCTATGAAAAATCACCCAAAGTATCCATTAGAGACCAGTTTTTGAATAATTTAATTTTAAATATAGTTATAAAATCGATTCCTTGCGTAAATAATGTATGAAATTCGCAAATACGATGAAATCATAATTGGCATCTACGAATGTTTAGTTTACTGAATACACTGGACAGTTATAGCACCATCAATTGCGAAAAAAATGCGTGTGTAGGCTTCGACGCGCAGCTGGAATTTACCCCTTTATGAGGATTATTTTTTTTTCAATATACAAGGCAAAAGGATAAACAAACGTATATTTTATAATAATGAAATAATTTTTATACTTTTATTTATATTTATACGTCGAAATATTAGACATTAATCATGTTACATAAAAGGCTGTTACAAGTTTGTGAAAAGCGTACGCCTAAATAAAAATTTCTGCAATTATTATTAATTCTTTTTAAATAAATAATTGTAATCCATCTTCAATATTACAGACCATTATATTAAATAACAGTTCCTATTTATGATTACAATAATTATTAAAAATATTTTTATAAAGCTAAATGAGAAAAAAGTCTGGCGGCGATGGGATTCGAACCCACCTCCGAAGGCGGTGGTGGCTTAAACCAACGCCTTAGACCTCTCGGCCATGCTATCATGGAACGCAAAGTTAAAACAGTAGTAGAGATCAAATATATATATAAAAGAATATAACGTTTTGAGTTAACGCTTGTTAATTTCACTCATAAAATTTCCAAACCCGGACTAATACGAAAATCGTTTCATGAAGGGGAAAACTCTAAAAATTGCGTTACATAAAACGAAATGTAGATTGACAAATAATTTCTAAGCAATTACTAAATTAGCAATAGATTTGTTTTAGATAATAAGGCTGCAGCTCATGATTCCGATATCAATCTCACTCTCGATTCTGGTCCCGCCCCCACTCAAGATTCCGACTCCCGCCTCGACTTACATACCGATTACTGTTCCACTCCCGAACCTGATTTCGGGTCCGCTCTCGATTTAATTCCTATCGAATGATGCCAAAGGAACACACATGTAACTATATTATTTTATTGCGTATTTCAAGAACATAATAACAGCGAATAGAATGGAAATTTGACATAATTATATGTTTAATGATAAATTATGTTAACAGTACAATGTAGCAAAATTGAATGAACATGATTTGTATTTAGTGCAATTTGCCGAACAGGTAGTGAATTTTGCTCTTAAATTCTCGATAGGCAGTGTGCGCTGGAATATCATGATACTACTCGTTCGTTTGTTCGTTCTCCAGTTATAAGCGTACAAATGTACAAACAGACAGACAGAAAAACATGGTTATTTTATAATACATAAATATTATATATAATACGTAAAATATATGAATAATTGTATACGTGAATCGTCGATTTGTTACGCTCTAGAGCTTGGACGTACGAACTATTTGAACAAAAGAGATATCTTTAGAATCGTCTAGACTCCGGGAACGCTCAAGGGTATATTGCTGCGGTCAATCTGATACTTTGGATACCGTGTAACCTCTACTTTGTTTCAGGCGAAAGAGAGTGTACAAGTCTCAGCATGATTTTTTTGAATAAAACCTTTCTTTATGAAGACTTTACAAATGGGAAAATGGCTCTAATTAATGATTAGCCACGACTTTGATCATGATTGCATGTTCCATATTCGATTCTGATTCAAAAGCCCATCTCGAGTATGGTTCTTCAAAGGATCTTGTCGAAAATCTTTTGTAAAATTCGTTTTGTATAGTATTTTATGACATAATTTCCGAATATTCTGCCTTAGTTCAATTTATGTCACCTAATACGACCCCATTTAAACAATGCGCTATGATAAGAAAGTCAAGAGAATATTGCGGGCCTCCAATAGCTTATAACCACTTTTGATTAGTCCAGACTTATGGGGTTTAAAACGTGTCTAATTTTGTGCGTTGAATTTTTAGTTTTCCTTTTTGTTGGAATAGTTTTTAAATGACGTTTGCTGCCATCAAATTCAAACTTGTTGTCATACTTGTTGATAGCGCAAAATAATTTAAGATGTAAAATTGAAACCATATAATTGGTATCATTATTCAAACGATGTACTTCACTCTCAGTAAATTGTTAGGAAAAAAAGTCTATATATGAAGCAGTAATAAGTATAAATAAATGTTTGTTATTAATAGTTTAAATTCTATAACTACACAAATTTCAATGCTATAATAAAATGCTGAAGGATTTAGTTACGTTTTTGAAATACATGGCGCAGAAAAAAGTATAATGACATATTATGCTATGTAAAGTATATTCAGTAAATAAAGTTTTGACTTTTGGCAACTTTAGTGATTATGAAGTTGATTTACGGCATTATCAGACTTACGTCCCATGAAGTTTAAAACTCGTATGTTACGTAGGATGGCGTACTTAGACGTATGTATTATGTCAGTGAAAAAAAATTCTAGTCGTATTTTACAAGTGAAAAAGTGCAATAAAATCTCTTCGGTAGTGCTGTTTGTATTTGGCTAGTTTCGATACCATCAAATAGATAACAACAGAAAAATAAAAAAGTAAAAAGGTGTCCCGCCATTTGTCTATTGCTTTTCTGTCCACCAAAATATTGAATCTAACGTAGAAATTCAATATATTTTAAGTTTTACAAAAGGGAAAAAGACCACAAGCCAAAAATATTTGAGACGTTTATGGACCTAATGCATTCGTGTCGGTAGGAGTAACACAAAACTTGTTCAAGCGTTTTCGGTCAAGATGAACCTCGCTCTGGTCGACCTGTTATGGATAAAGTCGATACCATTTCAAAAAAAAATAAAGAAAGATCGGCATACTAATTCTTACTACATTGATGTACCATACTATAAAGAAACCCGGATTAACTCGCAATAAGTTGATGGTATGTGTATGGTGGGATTAGAAGGGCATTATTCATTATGGGTTTTTATCGCCGGGCAAAACCATCAGATCTCTACTGCCAACAGCTGATGAGACTCAAGGAAGAAGTAGAGAAAAAACGGCTGGAATCGGTCAACAGATCCGATCGGACAACAGACCACATAAATCTTTAGCCACTCAGCTAATATTGAGTTTGGTTGGGAAGTGTTAATGCATCCAACATACAGCCCTGAGCTTGCACCAGATTTACAACTGTCTCGGTAGCTTCAGAATTTTTTAGATAGTGTTAGGTTAATATCAATAGAGGACTGTCAAAACTACTTGTCGCAGTTTTTTGATTAGAAGTCCCAAAATTCTTACAACAATGAGATTATGTCACTATCTATAAAATTTGTAGACAGTGACATAATCTCATTACCGTATATGTCTATATATATGTAATGTAAATAAAAAAAAAAAAATAATTTGAATTTACATATAAAATACGAAAATACTTTTTCCCCGGCCTCATAGTATATGAATATATATCTCTACTATCGATATAACTTTAATATTTTTGCTATTATATTCATTACTATTTATTTTAAATATTCCTTTATTTCTAGCTGATTAGCTGAGCTAAAACATCCAGTTTCAATAAAAGCTTAGTGATGTCGACCGCAATAAATCTTTAAAAAAAGTATACAAATATGAATCATTATTTTCATTACAAAATACAAATACATAGAACATAAAAATATTAACATTAGATACAAAACTGAATTGTAACTAATTAATCCTTCTAAACTAAAAATATTGTATATCATTATATCAATATTATATTCAAATGAGTTCTTAAAAAAATTTATCCATAAATTAAATATTCTGAAAACAATAATATTTAAACATTATCAATCAAGTCATTACTAAAAAGATATCCTGAATCACAAAAGAAAAATGTTACAATAGGAAAGAATTTCGCTGATTTTTATCACAAATGTATAGTATTTCTCATGTTTTCTAAAAAGCATGCCCTATGAAACGAAAAAGATATATCTCATACAGTCCACTCAGTTATTGATACACAAAAATATTACATACGTCAAAATATTATCAAACAGAAGACAAACAGAATGACACCTACGATTTGAATTTTCCATTCTATTAGAATTTTAAAAGAAATCATGAATATCTTATTTTATAATTTATTTACAAAAAAAACTTTATAAACTCACCGAAAGTAGAAGCAGTCTTGAGAAACACAACAAAAAGAAAAAACACAAATTCTGCAAAGAAAGACAGAAGAAATATTAGAAATTGTAATCTTATTTAAAACTTACAAAAATTTAATTTCATATCAAATTAATGTCTCATATCAAAAAGAAAATCAAATTTCCATGATAAATAAATTTATAAGTTACTCAATTCTTTAAACGCCAGAACAATAAATTGCATTTACAACAAAATAAAAGGAAATAAATAAAACTTTCTAACTTATCGCCGAGACATATTCCCGTACGCGCATTTTGGGCGGGAAACTTCCGCCCAAGCGAGCGACCGCCCCCGCTGTAGCTTTGATAAAACTGAAGCGAAATCCTGGGCGCCGCTGCTTATACGCTCAAAATTTGAATCGTACTAAAGTAACACGCCTATTCGCGATCTATACGTGTAATAAAATATACAGAGACAAATCTATCTATACATTAAAGAATTCGAAATAATCTACTCTGAGGGATATTGGAAACGTTGACAGAATATATTTCATTGGTTTTTCGAAATTTCGTATGTGTGTCTATCTGTCTGTGAATTTGTTTGCGAACTCCGCAAAAACTGCTGGACAGAATTTGACGAAATTCGATATGGTAATATTTTATACTCAGCAGCAACATACAGGATAATTTCGCTGATATATTTCAAATTATGAATATTTTGACCAGAATCTGAATCTAGATGGAGAACAGAATTGGAATCAAAATCAGGGTCAGGATTGGAAATGAAAGCAGGAACAAAATCGGGAACATGGTTGCAGGCACGGTCGCAGTTTAAGATTGGGGGATCACGGTCTCGCAGTAATGAGCGAATTAGAATTTATTACCTGTATAAGAATTAAGAATCGATTTCATTTTCAAAATTTTTGTACATGTACACAAAAATGGCAACTTTTTAGCCAGAACGAAAAGTAGTGTACAAGAAATAAAAGTGATAATTTATTTAGGTAATAGCGTTACAAATTTTGAAAATTAATCCTGATTTAGAAGTAATAAAATTAATGAAATGACAAATACACGTAGCAAATCGACCGTAGTGTCATAAATTACCATCAATTAAATACGAAAATGGAAAAGTTGTTTTTCCACAAAGTATAAATGACATTTTGAATATTCAATTTTTAACTGCCTGCTACGAAAATTGAATAACCTTCAAAAAATGGGAAGACCTTTTTTCAGTCTGACTTTCTTAAAATCGAAATTTTCATTAAATCTTGACGTTTCAGAGTCAAGACGAAACGTGACTGTCGTGCGTACTTGTCTGTATGTATATGAACCTTTCATAACTTTTCAACGAATTAACTGATCGAAACGCATTTTGCAGCATTCGAAAAAAGTTCAATTCAGACTATTTGAAATCTTTAACTGATTTTGCCTGATAGACTTTGTGAAATCACAAAAATTAAAGTTTCAACTAACATATTTTTGAAATAATTTTTAGACTACTCTACCGATCGATACCGAAATTGAATCAGAGCTTTTTATTATTCAAATGTTA